TTTATATATATTATATTTATTATATATGTGGGTATATATATATATATATATTATATTTATATATATGTGTGTATATATATATATATATATATTATATTTATATATATGTATATATATATATATATATATTTATATTATATTTATATATATATGTGTATATGTGTGTGTGTGTGTGTATATTCATATGTATATATATATTTATATGTATATGTATATGTATTTATATATATCGGTGTCTGTGTCTGTATCTGTATGTGGGCACATTTTGAATTCATATGTCATTTCGTTTGGACGAAAATAAATATGTACACACTTGTGTACTCATTCATATATACACATATTGTACATGCTACCATGCTATATATTACACGCGTATGCACGTACATGTTATCTTTTATACACATTCGCATGTACTTCACCTATGAATTGTACTTGCTTGGTCTAGGGAATGGCTGCGATGGAGACTCCTGTGTGCTTTGAAATATGCCCCTGCTTTACACAAATACATACAAACGTTCTAGCTAGTTCGGTGCGGCATGAATGCTTGTGATCAGGTGTAGCGCCGATATGTTCAGGACACGTGCAAACTATCGACACCACTCATACAAGCCAACTCAAAGCGATTGCTGTGACTGTTTCCCTTGTCTGCGTATTAAACAGAATCTCCCAGCTGCGTCGCCAGTCCTAAAAAAATGGAATGCGAAAGTCCTAGCGTTGTTGCGAAGCCCTCGTGAGACCGAAAGGTGTGTATGTGTATTGCTTCGCTTCCGCGTTTGTTTATGGGGGTGGTGGGTGCGATTGGATGGAGCACTTGTGTGCCTGTCCTGCCCTGGCCCACGCGTCTGTGGTCGATGCTATCCTTCGTCAGCGATTTCAGGTAGTGGCATATACCTGACGACCCACAGCATAACGGTGCCCGTGTATACGTAGTTAGATTTAACTGTCCGATGGTGGGCTTGCGTACACACATGACTGTATACCGATTAATGATTACGTAAGTGGATGCGTGCGTGTTTGTTGGCAAGACCCCCTTGGAGTCTCCGTTGGAGTTCCCCAATTAAACTCCCCAATTTTAGAAGTAATATGCCCGTGACTCCTATGTACCGTTCGTTATGTATGCACTCAGTACCCACTAGCCCACTGTCATCATATGCAAAACCCTTCACCACAGAAATATCAAACATGTCAAGACATGTCAGCGTTGCTGATTCAAAGCGTTTTTACATGACCTATGCCTAGCGGCGCTGGTTCACATCCGCATCGACGAGGCATGCGGCACCATGGTGGCTAGCAAATGAATTGTATATACGTTGTGTGCACTACGTTAATAATATAGCAGTATACCTTGGTTGGCCAGCAACTACATCTACAGACAAACATTGTGGTTTTATACCCAGTTCCGTGCTGTATTCACAATTGTGTATCAACCTGCATATACACATGCACACAACCCACCTATTCCTCTCGACTGACGCGTGTAAACACCCCACCACCACCACTCACCCACCCACCCATAGATGGACAGGTCTGTGTCTTCTCGGGCCAACTGCCCGACAAGCCTGTGCCGAGGTGTTTGACAACAACTGCATCCAGTGGATGTCCTGCCTACTAGACATGTACAAGAAACAACCCAGTGAGCGCACTCAGGCCCATCTGGCGGCCCTGTTCCTGGAGGTGCTTGCGGTGGGTGTGAAGAAACCGGACCTTCGGCGAGCCCTGAGTGACAGTCACTTCCCACGCTTTGTGCAGCTGATGCTGGCTCTGACGCGCACCGTGTCGTCTGCCACTACAAGTAGGTATACGTTATGTGGTATAGGCCGGGAGGTTGCTTACGTACGGGGTTAGTTGGACCTGCGTGCACCAGTATACGTTATACTTTGAACGTATGGTTACTGTGGTGTGTGTGCTGTCTGTTGTCGGGGCTCACTCGCGTAGGTGTTGTGTGTACTACAGCAGGGTATGGTCCTGGCCTATACTATACATCACGTGCACATATGTTTAAAGACTTGATACTCCAGAGAATGAGAAGAGGTGTGCGTGTCCGCCCATATGTCGCCGCCAACAATTCAGCAGCCACCACTGTAGCCTTACACACAGTGGCTGGTTGTTTAGAGTTACAACTCAGTCAGAAGCTACTATTTCGAATCACATTCATGCACGTATTGTACATGTATTCTTATGTGGTCTTGTGCATTACCACGCACTTCTACATATCACTTCTACTCATACTCATGCACAGGTATTCACTCACTCATTCACATACATTCACGAACTCATTCACATACATTCACGAACTCATTCACATACATTCACGAACTCATCCACAGACATTCACGAACTCATTCACATACATTCACTAACTCATTTACATACATTCACTCACTCATTCACATACATTCACTTATTCATTCACTTACATTCACTCACTCATTCGCATACATTCACTCACTCATTCACATACATTCACTCACTCATTCACATACATTCACTCACTCATTCACATACATACACTCACCCATTCACATACATTCACTCACTCATTCACAGACATTCACTCACTCATTCACATACATTCACTCACTCATTCGCATACATTCACTCACTCATTCACATACATTCACTTACATTCACTCACTCTTTCACAGACATTCACTCACTCATTCACATACATTCACTCACTCGTTCACATACATTCACTTACTCATTCACTTACATTCACATACATTCACTCACTCATTCACTTACATTCACTCACTCATTCACATAAATTCACTCACTCATTCACTAACATTCACTCACTCATTCACATAAATTCACTCACTCATTCACATACATTCACTCACTCATCCACATAAATTCACTCACTCATTCACATACATTCACTCACTCATTCACAGACATTTACTCACTCATTCACAGACATTCACTCACTCATTCACATACCTTCACTCACTCATTCACTCACTCATCCACATAAATTCACTCACTCATTCACATACATTCACTCACTCATCCACAGACATTTACTCACTCATTCACAGACATTCACTCACTCATTCACATACATTCTCTCACTCATTCACATACATTCAATCGCACATTCACAGACATTCACTCCCTCATTCACATACATTTACTCACTCATCCACATACATTCGCTCACAAATTCACATACATTCACTCACTCATTCGCTTACATTCACTCACTCATTCACATACATTCACTCACTCATCCACATACATTCACTCACTCATCCACATACATTCACTCACTCATCCACATACATTCACTCACTCATCCACATACATTCACTCACTCATTCACAGACATACACTCAACCATTCACATATGTACCTACCCCGATTTCTCTCAGAGAGTAAGAAGGGTGCGAGTACCACCGCAAGTGCTGTGGCCAACAAACCAGCCAACGTTGCCATGGCATTGCAAGCCTTAGCGCGCTGTTTGGAATTGCAGCCAGGCCCAGCGCGGCCCTTCTCGAATCAGATCTTTGCCACTGCCGTGTCGCATTTGGACAGTTTAGATAGCCGGGTATGTAACGCTCACCTAGTACTAGTAAGTACGTCATACGAATGTGGCAGTCACTTGTTAAGTAAGTTGTACTTGTGTGTGTGTACTTTATGTTCGTATTTGGACGGTTTAAATAGCCGGGTATGTAACGTTCACCTAGTACTAGTAAGTACGTCATACGAATGTGGCAGTCACTTGTTAAGTGAGTTATACTTGTGTGTGTGTACTGTATGTTCGCATATGGATAGTTTAGATAGCCGGGTATGTAACGTTCACCTAGCACTAGTACGTACGTCATACGAATGTGGCAGTCACTTTTTAAGTGAGTTACACTTGTGTGTATACTATATGCTCGTATTTGGGACGGTTTAAATAACCGGGTATGCATCGTTTACATAGTAACAGTACGTGAGTAGTACGAATGTAGCATTCACATAGTAAGTGAGTTGTACTTGTGTGTTAGTACTATATGTCCGTATTTGGACAGTTTAGATAGCCGGGTATGGGGCGCTCATATAGATTCACATAGTAAGTGTTATACGTCTGTGCATGTACTATATGTTTGCCTTGGGACAGTTTAGATAGTCGGGTATGCAATGTTTATATATACATATATATATATATATATACATATATATATATATCCTATACCTATGCAACTTTATGCTTGTATTGGGACTATTGTGTGTTTGTGTCTATATGAGTGTCTATTGTGTGTTTGCGTCTATATATGTCTATTGTGTGTTTGTGTCTATGTGTGTATGTGTGCATGATTATATGATTTAAGTAGTCAGGTATGCACGTTTTGCATGTGCAGTTTTGGTAGATGTGTGCGCGCGCTGTATGTTTGCGCGCAGAGACCCATGCGACATAGCGTATGACCTGCTGTGTGAGGTCTAGTACAGATGCTTGTGTCGCAGTAGCCCTTGGGAAGCTCAGCCTCGCTCGCCCTATAGTTAGCCAAGTGTGGGTGCATAGCAGAACACACTACCCTACGCCGCGACTATCATCTCGGGTCAAGCGTGTGAAGCTTGTATATGCGTGCACGACTATTTGCATGCATGCATGCATGTATTAGGAGTGCAAGTCGTCTGTGTGTACTGACTTTCAGTCATTTTTCGAGTGAGGTGATTGTAATGGCTTTGCTTGTGTGCGACCAGTCGGGGAACCAACGAGTAGATGAGTATGTGTGCACAATTGCAAATTCGTGTAAATACATGGACGTAGTAGTTTCTGAATGGAGAACAGTGCATTTCGCATTTCCTGAATATTCTATATCTAAGCTACGTTGTTACTTATCGTCTATCAAGGACCCGGGTACGATCTCATTTATATATATGTGTGTGTGTGTGTGTGTATACATATATTTATATATATATATATATATATATAATTGTTTGCTCACTCAGATCAATTTGCCTATGTTCGCATATTTTAATTGTTACTGGGATATATGCATATCTCAATTGCATCTGAGAATATACCTAGCTATACCACTTCGCCTGCCATATAGTAAGATTCTTCTCCTCGCACATATTAATAAACACCTTTATCCTACATACAAGTTTTGGCCAGTATGCTTATTGTCCTCACATATATTATCATATACATATACCTTTATCCTACATACAGGTTTTGGCCAGTTTGCTTTATCATATACCTTTATCCTACATACAGGTTTTGGCCAGTTTGCATATTGTCCTCACACATTTATTTCAAACACCTTTATTCTACATACAGGTTTTAGCCGCAGCATGCACGTGCATAGCTCATATTCCACTGTGTGGTAAGGCTGGTAGCACGCCGCAGGAGCAATGGACGATGCTGCTCACCACTACGCTGAGCTCAATGCACCAGGTATGCAAACTACTTATATATTTATATCCCATATATACTACAAATGTACATCTACTTGTATATATAGACCTCAAATATGCTACAAATGTGAACTACTTGTGTATGTACCTCAAATATACTACAAATGTGTAATGACATATATGTTTATATCTCAAATATATAACAAATGTACAACTACTTGTATATGTACCTCAAATATACTACAAATGTGTAACGACATATATGTTTATATTATAAATATATAACAAATGTACAACTACCTGTATATATACTACAAATGTACAACTACCTGTATGTATACTACAAATGTGACAATACCTGTATATTTATACCTCAAATACACTAGTCTAGTGTAGCATCCGTGCAAAAGTTGGTCCCGTAGTCAGATCAACAGCCCACTGTATGTACACACATACTCGCTTCCATTTTTTTTCGTTTTGAGCTTCTTTTGAGCCTATCAATTCTCAGATATTCTCTGCCTATGCTATATCTCAGATGTGCTACTTCCATTCACATCTGGCAACGCTACACACACTGTGCATGGTTGTAGAACGCCAAGACTGTACACTCCCAAACTTCAATCAAAATGAGCGAGAGATTCCGATCTGTGGCAGTATTCTATACTCAGAACTATCCTATATTTGGTATTCTTCGCAGGTGTTAGACACGGCATACGCAGTCTTAGATGAACAATCCGCCCCTCCCACAGTCGCTGTAAGAGGTTCCGAACTTCCTCTGCCAGAGCTCTCGGCCGAAACCATCACCACCACACACATGCTGGCCAAGGCGTGTCACCGGCGGTTTGCGGCACTGTGTGCGCTTGCGAAGACTATGCTCGGCGGGAGTGTGCTGTTACGACAGGTATGGCGTTCAATTAAATCTGTATGGGAAGGCTCTATAATAATCCATGTAGAAGATTCGTATGTCACCAAGTTTTGCTCGCGAGAATGTTCCAGCGGCGGTTGGCGGCACTGTGTGTACTTGTGACACCCACACGCATATGAACATATGCGTGTAAAAACCCTAAAACTCAGTCCATATAAACCCATAGAAGCCATAAAACTCACTTCATCTGTACCAATCAGTGTAATCAGACCACAAACACCCATATGAATATATGTGTGTAGAAACCCTAAAACTCAGTCTATAGAAACCCTAAACCTCACTTCATCTGTACCAATCAGTGCAATCAGACCACACACACCCATCTGGATATATATGTGTGTAGAAACCCTTCTCTGCTGCACGGCTACACACCATATAGACATAGATACTGACCGCTCTCAATGTCACAACATACCAACTCCTAGACAGTTATACGCCAACGGCATATCCTCAACTCCACTGCACACCAATGCATTGGATGCCCCCCACGCGAGACAGTCTCCACCACTCAGATGCTTCAGCGATCACTTGCACAATTTATCTGCCGCTCAATCTCATGCAACTTCTTACCACACGTTTGGCCTGTCGTTATATATATATATATACATATATACATGCATATACATATATATGTATATATATATAATGTCTCACCATACCTGCTCTTCGATATACTTGTGCGAGTGTACGATTCTGACCACTGCCCACCCACGGCACCATCTCAAACAAACGCATACAACTCATTACCACATGTCTGACCTGTCTGTCGTTACACACGTATATATATATATACATAGAGTGTCCCAACAGGCCTGCTCTTCGATGTGCTTGTGCGCGTGTGTGAAGTAGACCACTACACACCCACGCGATATGGTGCCGATGCCACATACGAACAGTTGATGTGCAATGTGGTACAGTACCATGAGGCTATGCTCTCTGTGTTCCAGACGGTGTGTGTTAGCATGGGCCCCCAGTTGTTACCGTTTGCCGGTAGGATCTGCTACCTACTAAACCAAATGCGAAAGGTGAGTGTATACGCACAATGTGTGAATGGATGGTGTATATATATATGATTATGTATATTTACATGTGTGTTTCATACGTTATAGAGTATGCGTATGTTGTTTTTGGTTCGTGTGTAGCGAAGTACCACGAAGCAGTACTGTCACTATTTCACACAGCGTGTAGTAGCCTGAATCTCCAGATGGTATCTACCGCCATCAGGGTTTTCTATTTACTACAAACTATGTGGGAGGCGGATATGCACTGATTGTCTACGCCAATATTGTCATATTTATATACATTATTATTATTATTATTATATTTATGCGTGGGTGTATATATATATATATGTGTGTATGTGTGCGTGTATTATGTGCCCCGAGCGTTAGAGTGTAGACCCCTTCAATTCACTATCCACTGTTTCATATGTGGTGAGTATTAGTGCGCACTCTATGCAAATTGATTAAGATCTATGTATGTTGACGTCTATATAAATCAACATGCGCATGAGCACTAAGGTGTACGTATACCTCGTACAATTACATTAGTATCTAGCGAGAGCGAGAACCATGCAAATGCTCGTATTGCATCTATGCATCAACCTCAAAACGTTCAGCTACTAAACCGTACACTGGTACAGCACCACCACATCGCACATGGTATAGTTGTATACACGACAGGCTATGTGTGGATATACAAGCTCACATCTGTTCCTTATACCTCGCACGGTTGCAGTTGCACCTAACCAAGGGGTCTACCTACCATGGATGCTCCAAGGTGCTGGTGCTGCAGTGCTACGTCTCGGCCGCTCAGTGTTTGGGGCCGGGTATGGATACAGCCACCACAGATAGCATGGTGACCACCGTGTTCAAGGGGGTCAAGTATATTGCTGTACAAACACAGAGGTGTGTACCTGACTCCCTGTGTGTGTGTGTGTGTGGTTTGGTTTGGTTCCGTTGTCTAGGGTTCATTGCGAGTATGCACGTGGCGACCACAGGGCAGCTTAGCACAACACAGGGCTGGGTAGCACAACACAGGGATGGGTAGCATAACACGGGGAAGCTTTACCTTCTATTGTGATCCACCTAACAGTGCGTGTGGCTGCATGCCTTTGACTGTATATGCGCGAGTGTACATAGGGCGTATGAAGTGCAGCTTAACACGCTAACTGCACTGTGTCGAACATAAGGAGATCACTGCCGATGGTGTGCGTATGTATGTCTTACGGACCTTTAACCTCTCTATACAAAATCGCCGGCAAAAGTGCCATTTAAGTGTACACAGTTTGGCAAACTACGTCAGAATGGAAGTATGGATATTGACGTCCGCTTATATACTCGTATTTATTTATTTTTTTGAATTTTTATTTGTTATTGTTATTGTTTTTTTGTTTTTATCGCCACTGTTTGACATGATCGAACATCACGTGTACGATAAAACCTCGTTAGTTTATATACCGAAGGCTGTCTACGTACGAGTATGGTGCCATATAACCAATGTCCCATTGCCGACAGAATCACAAACACGGCATACATGCAAGCATCGTGTTCTGTGGATGTACTTGGCAAAATAACTACACACACCCATCGATGTATGGATCACAAATACTTCTAGTACAATTACAAACCTAATACATCCTCAGAACTCGCTCTCGTATTACAAAACCAATGCGGTAGGCGCCTTTAAATGGGCTTTTAACATGCGAATACCTGTATAATGAAACTACAGTGCCGACACGCAAGCAATCGCCACGGATAATGGGCAACTCTTTCAGTGGTGGATGGCTGCCATGGCAACGCTCGCGACTGTACTATCGCGACAGACCACACACCTCACAGCAGAAAAGCTGAGTGATCTAGGTATAGCACGGCTTATGCCTATGGTGCAAGCATGAATGCAATACAAACCATGTAACCCATGTACATGTGTGGGAGAGTTCACAACCCCGCATGCATAAAGCATAAACCCTATGAATCTCTCGAGCATATTAGGTAGTGTATGATACCGCATACTTTAGGGTTTAGGGCTCTAAGGTTTCAGGAGTTTACCCAAAGGGCTCTCAGCCTGCGCAACTGACGCAGCCCCGAAAGCAGATTAGATCATATAACGGGTGCACACTTGTATGGATCAGTGGACGTGCACCCATTCTGCTTATATATTGGCCTGACAGGTCCTAAATTTTCACTACAGGTGCGTGGGCGTGTCTCCAACTTACGGCGTACCAGGTGCACCCAACGCTGGCCCCAAACCTCCTCGGCAGACCCGAGTGTAGACTGGGCACGTACAAGGTGCTTAGGGCCATGGCTCTCAATTCACGGCCAACCCACTCGTCGTATATACAACAGGCTGTGCGAGTGTTCCAGAAGGGCATGGTAGATCCGGACATCACGGTAAGAGGGCGAGGATCAGGGTGCATATAAATATATGTATATTATATATATGTGTGTGTGTGTGTGTGTGCGTGTGTATGTGTGGGTGGGTGGGTTTATGAAATCATTTGGTATGTATATGGATGGCACTGTGCGAGGGTGATGTCGAAGGGGTAAGCTGCTTGTATCACACGTAAGTATAAGCTACCTGTATGCACCCGTACGTGTACGCTTCTTGTATGCACACATGAATATCAGCTACTTAAATGCACACGTAAGTATACGATACTTCTATTCACACGTATGTAAACGCTACTTGTATGTACACAGAAGTGTACGCTACTTCTAGACATGTAAGTATAAGCTACTTGTATGAAAACGTAGGGATAATCTACTTATTTGCACACGTATGTATAAGCTACATGTATGAATACGTAAGTATAAGCTACTTGTATGTACACGTATGTATACGCTACTTCTATGCACACGTAAGTATCCGATAATTGTATGCGCATGTAAGTATACGATACTTCTACTCACACGTATGTAAAAGCTACTTGATATGTACAGTAAGTATACGCTACTTGTATGCACATGTATGTATAAGCTACTTGTATGCACACGTAAGTATAAGCTACTTGAATGCACACGTAAGTATAAGCGATTTGTATGCACACGTAAGTATATGCGATTTGTATGCACATGTTTCTATAAGCTACTTGTATGCACATGTAAGTATAAGCGATTTGTATGCATACGTAAGTATAAGCGATTTGTATGCACACGTATCTATAAGCTACTTGTATCCACACGTAATGTATATGTGTTTGTATATTACCCTGTATTGGTAAAACAGGCTCTGTATGTGACGATGTGGGCGCTGAGTTTCGGTTATCACAAACGTATTGATTTGACTTAAATGGGCCGAGGACATGCGTCATGGTTCTATGCTAGTGTTGGTGTGTTTTAAATAAAAGGTTCAAACTTGACCCACATGTATATACAAAGGGCAAAGGATATCACTCTCTCCCACCGATCACCCGCATAAACCCATACTCATTGCAAACTCATATCCACTGAGTACTGAATTCTTGCACTAATCTATTCGATAACCAATCTGAATTATTATTGTAGACGGGGGATAGTGCTTGTATTCTGAAACTCACGACCACTGAACGTTAGATAGTCCATAAGAAAGATGGCCATCTTAGTATGAACTGGAGGAGGATGTTTACTAATTGTCATTCTCTGTTACAGGTGTCTGAATACTGCCACGAATCATCGCTCATATGCGACTGGCTGATCCACCCACGATTGCCGATCACACAGAGGGTAGTGCCGGGGACTTCGGTATGTCCGACTATGCACTCGTTCGTGTGTCTAAAAATATTGTGCCTATTTATATATTTATAGATTGATAGATCGATATATATAAATATGTATATATGTATATATATACATATGTGTGTGTGTGTGTGCATATATGTAATATATATATATATATATATATATATATATATATTATTATANATATATATATATTATTATT